GGGCTGCCCGATCCTAGCCCCTTAAGATAGTGAAGGGCCAGAGCCCTCCACTCCAGCTGCTGGAGGGATGGCTGCACCAGCACCTCCGCTTTCCTCCCCCAGGAAGGGCTCGGAGACGAGACCGAGTCTTAGCGCTAGCGTGCTTCAGTGGAAACAAAGCGGTGCACTTTTAATGCTACCAAAGGGTTCACAAGCAAGCCTGAGTCCTGCCCTTGCTGTGGCTTGTGGCCGGGCCAGCAGTAGCCAGATGCAGGGGCTGGGTCTCTACAAGAAGAACAAGTCCCATTTGCTCCTGGCCTGGTCTCTGTACAGTTCTCTGTCGCTTCAGCCTTGCCTGCAGATGAGGGCTGAGCCCCACATACCCAGCACCTTTGACAGCCTTGGTAGCATCCGACCACTAGGCATCTCCACACGGATAAGGTCACAGGGGACGTGCTGTGGGGGCACACTCCAGCGTTTCCTCCCCAGCAGCACTGCTCCCTCCCTGGCCAGGTGGATGGACAGCTGGTTAGAGGGTCCCGTGCTGCAGCTTCCCCAGCATCTTCTTGACTTCACTCTCGACTCGTAGGAACTTGGCTTTCCTCCAGGGGTTGGCAGTCTGTCTCCGGCTGCTCTCCAGGTCCTGCAGGATAAGGGCAAGGTGCTGCCGAACCCGCTCGCGGTCCCAGAAAGGCAGGTTCTTCTGCACCACGTTCAGGATGTGGGACCAGTAGTCGGAGACATCGGTGCCTGCTGTAAGGAAGACCAGCGCTCTGACGCCGTCCCGGTCCATGCGCAGGCTGTGAAGTGCCCGCTTGCCTTCCTCGCTGATGTCGTTGAAGTACAGACTGTGGGTTGAGAGAAAAGGAGCAAGAGACACTGTGAGGGCTGGGGAACAGCACATAGAGGCAGAGAGGGGCTCCCTGCTCACTGCCACAGGGAGTGACACTGGGTCAGAGGCACTGCCTACAAGAGGCACGAGACGGGGCAGAGTGAACTCACTGCACTTTGTCCAGCATCGCGTGCTTCTTGGCCACCTCCACCACGTGCAGGGCAGCTGTGTCCGTCAGGGAGTTGTAGCCCAGGTTGAGCTCCTGGAGGTGCTGGTTCTTGGCCAGGTGCTGAGCAATGACCTCTGCGCCCTGGTCCCCCAGCGCGGTGTGCAGCAGGGACAAGTGGGTCAGTGAGCGGTTGCCTGCCAGCGCCTCAGCCAGGTATTGTGCTCCCTGCTCACCCACGGGGTTATTTGCCAGCCTGTGGGCACAGGAGCTCAGAGCAATGCCAAGGCTGGGCAGGGGGCCCAGGGCCAGGGCACATGGTGGGCAGCAGAGACAGTTTCATGCAAGGACAGAGGCAGTACTCACCGTAGGTTGCTCACCACACACTTGTCATGCAGGAGCAGGTCACGGATTTCCTTGCAGGCATCAGAGCCCAGACTGTTGAGCTGCAGACTGATGCAGAGCGAGACATGGGGGTGACAGGGCTGAAACAGCTGTTACCTGTGGGGCTGGCAACCCTGCTCTCTTCATTTTCCCTAGCCCTCCCCACCACTATCCTACCTGAACTCCCCAAGCAAGGCCCCGTAAGGCTTCCTCTCCAAAAGGGAGCACACCAAAACCACACCAGACCTGGGGTAGCATCAGCCAGCAGAGACAGTACCAGCAGAAGCAAGGGAGGGCAAGAGGGTGCAGGGTCCACAGAGGGCGGGTGAAGGTCTGAGGAGGGATCAGGACCCCACCAAGCCCTCCTGGGCATCGGGAGGAAGGAAACGCTGCACAGCCCCGCTGCACAGACGAGTCCATCTCTGCTGAGCACGGCTCGCCACCCCCTGGGCGACAGGAAGACTGCAGTTCCACCAATGGACTGGAACAGAACCCATCCCTTTGCGCAGCCCAGGCTCCCACCGTCGGGCTGCGCATCTCCTGCCTGGAGTTAGTAGCAGCAGAGCTGGCTACATGAGATGCTGGGTGGTTCTGGGGGGCCAAGTAATGGGAGGGACCTGGGTCTACCAGGGGAGCTGGCAGCCCAGCCTGTGGTACCAGATGCAGAGAGCTGCCCCGAGTCCTACAGAGGGTGCGTTGGGACTGCAAATCCCAGCATGCAGTGCCCTGGCAAGGCTGCTGAAGGAGTGTTGCATGTTGGAAGCTGTAGTCAGTCCCCTAGGTCTGCACTGAGGATAAGCAAGGGCATGAATGGTCTTCCCTACCTTTGCCACGCTCGGGCTCCTCGTGTATCCCTAGGGTGGGCAGAGGTGAAGGAAAGGCCAATTTTTGAGCACTGCCCAAGGACAGTAGAAGGTGGTACTCACTGGAGAGCTTTGCAGCGCAGCAGGACAGGAAAGAGGATCCTCAAGCTGCTCGTGTCAAGGTTGCAGGAGGTCAGGTTCAGCTCCTCCACCTCGTGGCATGTGGTGCCCACGACAGATGCCAGGACAGAGCACTTGAGAGGGGTCATCTTGACGGATGAGAGGTTGACAGTCCGGAGGGAGTGGATGGCCTCAGCTGTGAAGCGCTCATTCTGGAACTCATGCAGGAAGAAGAGGTAGTCCATCAGCTCGGAGGGCGGCAGCCCCTTGCGGCTGTTCCTGATGACTGTCTTCTTCATGGCCTTGGCGATCTCAAAGGCTGCCAGGTTCTTGATGGAGCAGCCCAGCTGCTCAAGGATGGCACGGTTACGGCGGGACAGTATCCCACCCATGAAGATGGGGAAGAGCTCAAAGACCTCATCATCAGGGGCGTCATCAGGGTGGCGCATGGGGCCCTCCACACCCAGGATGCTGGAATTGATCTGGTCCAAGACATCATCATTGTAGTAGTCCTCCTCCTTGAATAGCTCCTCTGCCATGGTGTGGGCAATAGCATCCCGGTCCTTACCACTCAGTCGGGAGAAGTAGCGAGGGAAGATTTTGAGCAGGTTGAAGAGCACTGGCAGGAAGCGCAAGGGCAGCACCTTGGAGATGATATTCAGAACGACAGCGACATCTTCACTCACCTTCCCAATGAACTCTGACAGCTCCTTCCCCACTCTCTGTGCCAGGGTCTTCTTCTCACCCAGCACCACGTACAGGGCTGCCAGGTACTCCTGCATAGCAGGGATGGTGAAGACAAAGGTGTGTTCTTTGCCTGGCTGCACACATGGAGTGAGAAAGAAGCGGAAGACGTCGCTGCGGAAGACCTCTAGGAGGTTGAGTTCACTTTCAGTCTTCATCTCCACCTCAAAGCACTGCTGCAGGTCATCCTCTGAGAAGCAGGTCTTGCGGGACATCACCCCTTCATAGGCCAGCTTGCCCACCGTCTTGGCCACATACTTCATCATGGAGATGTTGGTGGGGTCAGTGCTGTCCAGCACCTCCCCGCTGAAGTTGAGCCTCAGGAAACTGGTGTAGATGCCAGTCAGGGTCTGGCTGGGAGGCACCGTCCTGGTGAAGTAGAGGAAGTGCAGCGTGGTGCACACCAGCCAGCAGTAAGAGGGCAAGAAGCAGGCAGCGGCTATTTGGTTGTGGCGCTCCAAGTTCCTCGACAGCATCTCCACCAAGTTTTCCTGCTCACCTGAGCTGCTACCCACACTGTACTCTCCACTGCAGCCAGGCTGGCTGAGACGCATCTGGAAGTACAGCTTCTGCAGGTTGGTGTCGGAGAAGCCACAGATCTCAGCATAGCGGCCCACATACTTGCCAGGGATCCGGCGCACCGCTGATGGTCGCGTGGTGACGATGATGCTGGCCTGGAAGCAGAGGGCTGGGTGAGTTTGGAGGTGCTCCCTCTGTGGCTTTGATCTAAACTCAGCAGGGTCCCAAGTGCACAACCCACATATAGGTGCACAACCCACATACAGGTGCACAAGGATCACACCACCCACAGGCTGGGGTTCAAGAAGCTGCTGCCCAATGGGCGTTGGTTCAAATTTGGCCCAGGTAGAGGGGACAGAAGAGCTTTCCCTATCCCCTGATAGACATATATTGGGTCTGGAAGACCACAGCCCAGCAGACTGCCTTCTTTGCCTTACCAGGCCTCACCAAAGATCCCACAGAGACAAACCAGTAACAGTGACATAAGGCCACCTTGGTGAGTCCCTCCAGGAATGGAGGCTGCCTGTTAACTCACAGCCAAGCTGGGCTACAAGCAGTTAGCACAACAGCCATGCCTGCAATGCCCCAGGGCTCACCCCCAGCCTTTCTATACCATGAAGGAGCTGAAGGGAGACACTGACCTCTGGCAGGAGGTATTTTCGCAGCAGGTTGACCACAATGGCAGAGGGAGGCACAGGCTCATTGGGGTCACAGCACAGCTCTGTGCCAGCCAGACGGAAGTCCAAGTTGAGGCGCTCCAGGCCATTGAGGATGAAGAGCACCTTAAGGCTGGAAGCGCCCAGAATCGGCATCACATCCCGGAGGTGCTGGTACTTCTTGGTTATGAGGCGCCTTAGGGAGATGGGAGCATGACTATGGGACAGGTCCTCGCAGGAGAAGGGGATGACCAGCTCAAAGCGGGGTAGGCGGCCATGGCACCAGTCCACTACCATCTTCTTGATGAGGGTGCTCTTCCCCGTGCCCACCGTGCCATACAGCACCACATTCTTCACCTGCCGCCCACAGGCATCCACATCGAAGAGGTTCTGGAGGGTGATAACCTGGCTGCAGGGCTGCTGGAGCTGGTTATGGATGGTTAGGTCAGGCGAGGGCTTCAGGATCTCCTCCAGGGAGCTCTCACGGATCACTGGGTCCACGTGAACTGCGTCCAGCGAGAAGGAAGGGCCGAACTGC